CACCGACAAAAAATTAAAGTTCATTTAGAGTTAAAGAAAAGTGCTTTTTCGTATTCAGCACACTTGATAACCTGGAAAATTTTCTATTTTTAGCAAGGGGTACCGCCAAAAAGTTAAGAAAAATTTTCAAAATTGTATAATTTTACCACCGGGAGTTTTCTGCATCAATTTGTTTGAAAATTTTTCTTAACTTTTTGGCGGTACCCCTCGCTAAAAATAGAAAATTTTCCAGGTTATCAAGTGTGCTGAATACGAAAAAGCACTTTTCTTTAACTCTAAACAAACTTTAATTTGTTTTATCGGTGAAATGATAGCTTCATGAAAAGACAGAATAATAATGTTCGAGATTTATCCAGTTACTTTTGAAGCATATGCTTCATTAGAGGAGAAATACGATCACCGAGATGATAAAATTATTGGTCTAAGATCATTGTCAACAAAAAGAAAACATTTGTTTAATTCCCTCTGTATGGATGCATCTGTAAAGTGAACTAAAATTAAACGTTTCATTATCATACAATTCTTACCGATACTGATTGTGCAACACGTGTTAGTGTGGCAATCGTACTTTCTTTTTCTGTTAATTGAATACGCAGTTTTTCATTTAACAACGTTAATTCTTGTGCACTAGTAAGAAAAACAAATGTTGATAAAAGTTATTTTCTTATCTCTGTAAATTGCAGAATTTTACCGATTTTGTAAGTCATCTATTTCTCGAGTTTTGTCTCTGATTTGTCCCTCTAAACTCGCTTTATCTCCTCGCTCTCGATCCAATAATATCTAAACGAAGATAGAGAACTCTTTTTCTATGTTATACGGTAAAGACAATGGTACCTGTCCATGAGATTCAACTGATTTCGTATTTGTTAAAAAACCAAAACAAGCACTTGTTAATGATCGGCCAGTTTGAGCCAAATCATTGCGTACACGAGTTAAATCACGTTCGGTTGAACCTTTTAATTCTGTAAATTGTTTTCGAAACGATACAACCTCACGCCATAATTCATAAATTAAATTGTGTTCTTTGTTGTAGTATTCGTTGAACATCTTCAAAGAAAGAAAGTACAAATTTAACTAAGTCTTTTAAACACGTAATACCGACGTACACATTCTTCCTCTTGCCAATCACGAGCTTTGTGATTAAGTTCGTCTCGAACACGTTGAAACTCGGCTGTGATACGATGCAATTCATTGGTTAGTTGTTGATTAGCAGCATTAGCATGATCAAGTTGTTCACGTAACATTGTATTTACTTGTCCCAAACTTGTTGATCTACACAAAGAGAGTTCGACTTAACATCAAAATCTCAAACTTTACACAAAACATACTTGTGTTTTTCCTCTTCTAATGTAATAGACGCAATATCTTGCTCTTCACTATTTCTCAATCTATTTTCATATGTAAGTACACGTATTTCATCTGTTGTAGAAGCACTATCACGATAGCTTCCCTAAAACATTTGAATGGCGTTAACAAATAATAATTATTTTTCAACACATATATTTTACAGACCATAATTTTGACACGTTCTATGTCACCTTTTTGCTGTTCGAGTATTAATTCAAGTTCCGAACATTTCTTTTTGTACTGTAAAACCTGTCATGAGAGAGAGAGAGAGAGAGAGAGAGTGATATAGTAAGGCGCATATCGTCTTAAAATTAACTGGACAATACTTTTTGTTGTAGTTTTTGAACGAGTTGTGCTTGTTTTTGTTGACTATCCTGATATGTTTGTAATTTTCTTTTATAATTTTGATGTTCTTCTTCTAGTTTTCGTCGCAAATCAATATTTTGTTGCACTACTATACGCCTTTCCGGTTCATTGTCGGTAATATCGGCTCCTTGAGCTCGCAATGACTGCTCAAGCTAAAAGAATACAAACTGTTCAAGTCCACTGCTATTTAAAATAGTAATACTATCGATTTAAAACTCTCAAATCAACAGAAAAGATTATTAATCACTCACCAGCAAAATTTTATCGTACAAACGAACCTTCAGATGCATCGTCTGTCGCCAATTGAACGAAAGATGCGTGTGAACGTTCCTCGATCTTAAAACGCGCTTAGAGGATAGCAAGCTCAGGGTTTCTAGTTATTTTTAAACAACAGTTGCATCTAGACTCGTCTTTGAGACTAAAAAATGTTTCAAGCCGCACTTATTCTATGCTGTCCGATCAGTAGAAGGTAGCTGTATTTGCCTCCAGACACATTTTTTCATATCAATTAGAGAACAATGTGTTCAGACTCGTCTGAAGAAAAACAACTTTAGAATGAATAAAAAATTTATAATCTAAAACTCTTCTATCAAAATCACAAATCGTGTCTAGGCGCACCAAATGATGAGTTACCTCTACAACAGAACCTTTGCAAAGCTTTTTTTATAATGCTCACTTTTTTTCTACCAAACATAATTAAAAAATTCTCTGAAATAATTTCTCTTACCAGAGTTCCAAAAAGGCTCTGAAAGTCCACAGGCTATAAAAAGTAGATTTTAGGTCATCCATGAATTTGTCATATCCTAGTAATCATAGTTAGCATAAAAGGATTTCTCTATCAACTAATTAAGGAAATTATGGTAGATGGTGAATATAAAAACGCACGTAGGTACATTAAAAAAACAGACTTTCATTTTTGAAACACGTCTAGACGCATTTCTCATTATCGAGATAAAAATCACGCTCGAACGTGTTTGAAAGTTTGAAAATTTTTCAAAAATAGCTAAATAGTAGAAAATTGGAAATATCACGATCGTGAAATGCATGTCCGGACGTGTTTTCTTTTCTTTTTTGGAAAAACTTGCCTCTAAGTGCGTCTACAGTTCAAGGTTTTTGATTCAAATTAACCTAGAAAGTCTAAAACGCCTGTGGCTTTATCGACTAACGCAACTGAATGGATCGTTTTTTAATCAAAATAAACAACTTATATCTAGACATGTTTTTTTTAATACTGAGATAAAAATAAACGCGTATGATCGTTCGTCTCTATGACAAAATTCAGTAGTCTAATCCTTAACTCGCTGGTTGTTTCAAACTCTATGTTATAGCCTTTTATCGTCATAATAACGACAAAATTTGATTCATAAACACTCTCTTGATTGATATCCTAATGGGTAAACTTGTTTTTAATATTATTCTGTTAATAAGCGACACAAAGTAGAAATGAATTTTTATCATATTTAAAAGTGGAGGAAAACATATTTCCTTTTCTGAGTTAAAAGCATTAAACACGCTCATTGTCATTATCCTAAATTTAAAAAACATAACGGGTGCTTCACTCCTTTTTTCCAGTTTTCTCTATTTCCCTATGACTTTTTTTCATTTAGAAAAGGATTCGTCGCTTAATTATCTACAAAAAAGTTGTTCAAGTGCTTACTACAAAGAGCAAAAATGCACAAAGAGGTGAAAAACACCGAGCAGCTCCAAAACAATTCACTTTCTAACCAAACAACATTTTGTCTGATGAGATGTAGAATAATCTAAACAGTCCTTTTTTATAACATTTTTTTTCTTCCAATATCCACAGTAAGAAAACTAGAATTTCGTGAGAAATTCGATTCTTCGAGAAAAATTGTAAGAAATCTTTTAAAAGTGTTTTAGTTACGAAAAGATGCCCACAAGTCTTTCCGCTCATGTAGGACAAATTCCTTTTAAGCCTAATTTCGAGTGAGCTACTTGAAATGCGATAAAAAAGAAAAAGAAACGTGCTCTTTGTAGTAAGCAATCGATCAGCTTTGTTTTGTAGATAATTCTACGTGTATAATTCTACGCATATAATTCTGCGGCAAATCCGTTTCTAAGAATGACGTCACAAGGGGACAGAAAAATGGAAAAAAAAGAAGGGACTAGATAGACTACATTCTTCTAAAGAATCCAGTAAATTTAAAACTATTAGAAAACTCTCAGCGTAATCATACGGAAGAAGAAAAAAATTATTTTCTTCTGAGATTAAGCGAGATTTGTACAAGCCATCCTTCTGCAACATCAAACAATTTTTTGAAATGTTTATGTAAGAATGATTATAATATAAATTTTGTTAGATGAGGCTACCTCCAGTTTTCGACATTTTCTCTGAATGATTTGAATTCATTCTATATGATAGTTTACGATAAGACACATTTGATGATATTGTTGTTACGACTTGAGACTAAGGCGAAAATTAGAAAGCAAACGTCATTATGTAAGATCTATATTAAAAAAAAAACTTTATTTCTTAATAAAACGGTCTTACTATCCTAGAGCTTTTTTAGACGTCTAAAACTTGTATCTTTTCTAAAAATAGTCTCAACATCAGTAGATGTGTGTTATCGTAAACTATCATATCAAATGATTTCGAATCACTCGGATAAATATTGATAACTAAAAATGTCTTTCATTAATATTAAGTATTCCATTTGAAGTTTTTCTAACATAGAACATGTATATAACTGTACCATTATCCGACTCACCTGTAATCTCATTTGTTGAATGAATGCACTCATTTTCCTAGGTGGGCGTCTTAGCGCCAAAAGTTAAAGTTCGTCTATATTATAAGATTATGACTAATCTTTTGTCCTATATATCGAATTATACGCAGAATTTTGTTCAAATATTTTGTTTTAAAGAGAGAAAAAAGGAAAGGCTGAGATGTTACTATGTCAACAATCTTGTTCTGAATTTATGAAATTTGATGAATGAAAGACGTCCCATGAACATATGACGATGACAACCGCGACTTTATTCTTGAAGAAAAAGGAGAGAAACAATCCTTTACCACTGGATGTGTTGGTTTTTGTCATCAACGAATGTCAAATAAGAGAAAAATATGGAAAGAATTTGAACAATTACTCAATTTAAAAATTTATGATGTGCATAAACAACAAAAACACTAAATTTTTAAGAGTTTGCTTTATGTGCACACGTGTAGTAAAGAAAGCAATTCTGAATGGTTAGATTGATTTTTAATAAAGTAAACTATAGAAAGAAGAGATTGATTGAAAGGTCATATGTTAAATGTATAAAGTAAAGTTGCAAAGATTGACATACTTAGTCTAGCTCTACTCTGGACGACAGGCAGCACACCACCGTCCTATTTCTGCTTTGAAGACGAAAATGTCGTTTTATTTAGTTTATAACATGGACCGTCAGCCTTCGTTTATTAGACTGAAAAATTGTCACGTTGATTGGTCGCATTCTAGGAGGTGTGAGTTCTTCTATGTGGACGATGTTCTTCTATTGAAAACATCTGTATTCTTATCAAAACTAGTTCTATCCATTCAGTTAATCATATCCGTTTGGAAATTAATTATTTCGATGAAATTTTAACTATAAAAGAAGACGTTTTAGCTCACCCGATCTGATAAAGCGTTATAGCGTATACTAAGTTCATCCTTTTCTGCTCGAGTTGAATTTAATGCTGTTTCGACACGATTGAGTTCATCATTCAAATAACGATTTTCATCGACTAATTGCGATGGACTCTGCATATCGATTATTCGTCGGTCGTTTGTTGTTGATGATGATGTTCGAGTTGTACTTGCTATTGTACTAGTAACTGTATCAAATGGTGATCGACGTTGCTGATGATCAATGGGCGAAATACTTCTTACGAATATATCCCGAACATGAGAACGTACACGAGCATCATCGTTTTGGTCTTCGAAATTAAAACGAGCTTCTTCTAAACGCTACAATAGAATAAGAAGACATATTATTTATAAACTAGATGGAAGTAAACGTCTCCATGAATGAAGAACATCGATGAGCGATATACTTCATTCAAGCAAACGATCTCAAGTTTTTGAAGCTTAGTTTGAGTTTCCTACGAAGCACTTACTCATCATTGGCTTTCTTTTATAGAAAAGACAACTTGAAACCGATATCTGAAAAATGTACTTCATAACTTTTTCTAATCATGAAGCACGTAAATTTCTTTTCTGGATTTCTATACTATATTTCTGAAAATTACAATAACCAATTACTCGATAGATATCTTGATCAGAATTTTTTTTGTGTACAAAAGGATGTGTCAGTTTATTTGAAAGAAACAATTAAAATCACCTGTAAGCGCATAGCATGTGTCCTCTCATAATCGAAATTGTTCTTCTGAACATTCATTTATATCACTTCATTTATAGTTTTTAGTCTGCAGATTTAAACATCATTGTTTTGTTTTCTCTGTTATTCTTACTTTTCTATGATTGAACAAGTTGTACCGATGAAGTGCTGTTGGCTTTTTTTGTTGAAGGTTGTTTATGTATCTCTCTCTCACGCTGCTATCTAACCAGAAGACATGTAAGAAGAATGTGGTAAAGATGATGAAAAGTCTTGTTCATCAAATACAATCACATTAGAATAAAATGTCGTTATTACCCAACTAAGTATTGAACTAAGAGAAAGGAAAAGAGAAAAAAAAATGTTTTTTTCTTTTTTCAGTTCCATTAGTTGGTGATATTTGCAGTGAAATAAATTTTAAAAAATAACACACTCGCGTATAAGCAGAAAAAAATAAAAAAAGGTAATGGACGGAGAATAGAGACAAAGAGGACACACGTAATGCCTTTCTTTCTGTTAGAAACAACAATATGTTGTTGAGAAGAGAGAGAAAAAAAAGAGAGTTCATTACTTATCTGCTCACTGTCTCTAAATACTATAAAAACTATAAAAATTAGATGAAATCAAAATGATCAGAGTCTGTCTTCACATTTACTAAAAACTTTTTTGTATAAATACATTTTAAATTTTAAACATGCCACATTGACTATACTATCTAGCACATCTACAATCAACAATAACTCTTAATCATACAGACAGCAATAGAATCTCGTACTGATGTGGCTAGAAAAAAAAATCACGAGTATAACTATTGCGACAACGCAAAAATAATTTCAGAAAAAGCTACAAAAAATCGTTTTGTTATGTTTTAATAACGTCAAAGGTTGTCCGTATAAAATAGACTTTCTCTGAGAATATTTTAAGAGAATGAATCACCTTTTGTCATCATTTTATTGTCTTTCTCTCATATATTCAAAAGAATTAGTTCTCTGATTTTTTTCGTAGAATTTTTTGAATCAAATTAACGAGAATTTTCGTTTCTAAAACAGAAAAAGGTCGTGTATACGTTTCAGTGGAATTTTCAAATATTTGCAAAGGATTTTCATAAAAGATCAAATTCAGAGATAGTCAATCACAAGTAATCTTGAGGGATATGCAGAAAAGTTTTATTTCATAACTTTCAAGATTTATCCGATTTCTATCGATATGTGAGATTTCGATTTTGTTACTATAAAATCGTGCATCTAGTGATTAGTCGTCCTTTTCGTTCTCTGAGATAAATTCCTTACAGACTATATGCGTTATTTATGTTTTTTCTCTTTAATATGATGCATTGCTACGTCAGAGGACTCTGATGTATATAAAAGTCCAATCGAGCTTATGAAAAGACTTCAAAGCTGACTTCGGTTGTATTAAATACGCGTTATATTTTAACTAGCCGGCAGTTATATTTCATCTCAGCTCATCATGAGCTGGTACTAGTAGCAGTTCTCGTTCAAAAGAATTGAATAAAAAGTGCACCATTTCTGATCACACAGTTCTTTTTTTCTGAAGTGTTACAACTTGAATAACCCAAGCAGACTTTTCTGCGTAATTAAGTTTGTAGTTGAACAAGTTCAATAATTATTTCTTCCACAGAATTATTTCTCGTCTGAATGCCATACCATTTTGTCAGTATTATTTGACTGAATAGTCGAACTTAGAATACAAAGTTAAAAAGAGTAACTGATGCGGAAAAAGGATCGATTGAATGATGTATCCACAGACATGTTTTGTACGATGCTAATTTTCATCGTCTGTTTAATGCATAAAACAATTAACTATGAACTCTTTGACTTCGCATATTCATTATCAACGAAAGAAAGCGATGTACATACTATCGGTGCTTCGAGGGCAATATCATCAACCATTATTGCAAACAACAACTTTGGTAAACGATAATTATTTTTTCGTTAGAACAGCAAACTAATTATATTTTGCTTTTTCGTTGAGAAGGTATACATGGTTGACTTCAGAACATTAATAAAAGGGGTACAACAAAACGAAGAGTTTTTTTTGCACCTGATGGAATTTAGAGTACTTGAAGTAATAAATGATGATTTCTGTGGTTGCTGCGCGGTTTTACATGTATTCAGAACTGGGAAAGAAAACAAAAATTCATAAATTACGAAAAAGAAACAGTGAAAAGAGAAAAAGAGATAGATTTATTCTTTTATTTCGTTGCATATGGCATCGATAAACAGCTCTGTGGTTTCTTGTTTAACACAAGATTGTTATTTCAAACAAGAACAAGTCAATGAACACCATTCTTCTAAATTTGAAAAATAATGTAAACAATATCAATTGTTGGAGGTTTATGATATAATAGTAACTACACCGTAAATTTAATTTTCAAATTTTTATTAAGAAAAAAAGAGAACATCATGTACAACAACTTAATGTACAATACAAAGGCTTAAAACTAAAAAAACAATTTAATTTAATTTTAAACAATCTAAGGTTTATTAGGATATAACTAAAAAGATTAGATGCTATATGATGGAAACAAAAATACCACTTACGTTGTGAAACCATTATATTCACATGTAACTACTCAGTGAACGCAAACACGTAAACATGAGATCGACCATGCGCACCGCATCAGTTAGGTGTAGTACGCTGGCAGTTCTAAAGGCTCGGTTAAGTTTAGACAAAAAAATTTTTAGTTATGATGTAGTTATACGCTTAGACAGTTTCGTACTAACATTAAAAGTACGCCCAACCTACTAAAATGATCCACCATTGTAGGAAATCAGCCGTTACTGAGACAAGCTAATGCAATACAACGGTTCATTTATGTGTTATGCACTTAAATACTATACTTTTCACTTCACGCTTTTTTCGAAAGAGTTTTCATGATCTCATTCTTTCGACGCTTTTTCAAGTACACTCATTCTGATAGTATATTTTAGTAGGTGCTTTTTTTTGTCGTGTATCATTGCAAACGGACGGACAAAAAATTCAACCGATCTTTCCTAATTCAGTGCATCACAAATGGTAGATTATGTATCAGCGACGCTCAAGGTATGAGACAAGTGTGGCGCTATCATCAATACAAAAAACAGATGATACACATTGTTCTGTGGAATTCTTTTTTGTAGATGGGTTATTAAGTATTTGAAACTCTGAGGTGGACGAAATATTTCAAACAGCTAGTTAGGGATAACATATCACCAAATCGAAAAATTTTAAAAATTTCTTCGGTCAAAACCAATTGCAAATTCATCTTCTCCCCTAGTCGAGACTCCCGGCAAAACTCCCATGGGACTCCTGTCATGGGGTCCTGCGGGATCCTGCAGGATCCTGTAGGAGTCAGGTGGGGCTTTCAAGGGATTTCTCAGGACTCCTAAAGACTCCCGTGGGACTTCTGTGGAGCTTTCGAGTCCTGCGGGAGCCCAACGAAAGCCCTCAAAGTCCCACGGGAGTCTTCAGGAGTCCTGAGAAATCCCTTGAAAGTCCCACCTGACTCCTACAGGATCCCGTAGGACCCCGTGACAGGAGTCCCGTGGGGGTTTTGCCGGGAGTCTCGACTAGGGTCCATAGTCGATTCTCTTGTACGCGATAACTTTTGAATCGGGAGACTGTAGAAAAAAAATTTTCATGGTTTTACTCGAAAATTTTCGAAAAAATCACTGCATGAGACCACAAGCAAAACATCGTCGAAAACTTTCTGAAGTACATCGATCCAAAAGTTATCGCATACAAGAGAATCGACTATGGAGAAGACGAATCTGCAGTCGGTTTTGACTAAATAGGCTTTTAAAATTTTTTGACTTAGTGATATGCAATATGGATGATATATATATGTAATGTATTTTCATTCTCACATGTCAGCAGAGCTGGGCGAGTTCAAGTCATGACTCAGACTCAAGTCGCATTTTGTTCTTACTTAGACTCGACTCAGACTCGAGGTGAAAGATTCGTGCAATCTGAGAAAAAGACTCAAATCATTTTTTAGAATTCAAATTTGCGTTTTCTTATTCATTTATACACTTTTTATCGCAAAGAATTTGAGAATAAAAAGAGGAGAATACATCGCAAGAAATAAATCATCCTAAATGGTGATGATCTGTTTGCTGACGATGACAGTGATAACGATCAGAATGGTGATGTATTAATTCACGATTAATTTTACAAAAACAACATCCGTTTATCCTATTTTATATCAATCAGATAGCAATGAAATATCTTTCAGTTCCGGCTACATCAGCTCCTATAGAAAGAATTCTTTCTTCTAGTGGTTTTTTAATTTGTTTGGTTTGGTACACCGTTCATCATTAAAATCAAAAAATTTATGTATTTTGACATATCTGAAATGTAACAAACATTTGTTGTAATGCGTTTAGAGGCAGGCTAACAGTTTTTTGAATGAACGCTTAAGGTTAAAATTCTTCACTATTCGTTTGATTGATCGAAAAAAAGAAAATAATTGATAAAGAATAGAGAAACACTGACAGCTGAAGAGGCAGAAAGAAAGATCTGAAGGAAAATAGTGATTATTTTTTTTAGGTGACGCCTGTTTATGACCTTTCTGGAAGAAAAGTAATCTAACTTCCAGTTAAAAAATATGACTCGAGTTCAAATGACTCGAACTCGAAAAAGGAAAGACTCGCACACCTCTGCTTGTTTGAGAAAAAGTCTTTTAATGTTAACTTTTAGTGTACAACTAAGTGCACAGGTATCATTTCAGTGAACTGCAAAGCAAACAGAAACAACATTGTAACACGAAAAGGCATTTGGAGGTCTCGAGATCTGCTGTCTTGATAAAAAAAAGTCATACAAAATCTTCACATACCTTTACTGTTCTTAAAAATTTAAAAGATTAAATACTTAAACACTTTTTTATTTATACTGATTATAAAAGCTCTAATGCACATGACAATCAGAAAAAAAATCTATATATGGATGACAAAATATAACGAATGATGTTTCAGGAATAAAAAAAAAACGACAATGTCTATAAACTAGAATCAATAATAATTTATAAATGTGTGTATTGTGCAGTAAATTTAATAATCTGAACTATATTCGATTGTTTTATTCAAATGTTTTAAGTCTTCAAAATGTATAGATATTGACAAAAATTTACAATCATTTATTTTACGGCAAGGTTATCAAATCAATAAGTCAAACTAAGTATCTCGAAAGATGACTACAATGATGTAAAGTCTCAATTAAAAATTGAAAGAAGTTAATACGTTCTAGAATCACCGAAACAACAACAGTATGACAACCGAAGGAAGAGTTAGAGAAGAGATCAAAACTTTATAGTTTGTGGCAATTCTCAGTCAATTGGTATATGGATATCAAATTTGCTAAAATTAAACTTGGATTTATTTTGATGATGAAAACACGAGTACATATTTCGAGGTCACTTTAAGAAGAAAAAAAGATATTTAACAATCAAAATGGAATAATTTTCTTTTCTTTTTTCTTTGTCACATTATGCTTGTTTTAAAAATCAAATAAAAACACCAATTGCAGCACCGCAAATAGTTCAATGAGATATGATGACTATATAACAAAAGCAAAAGAAAGAAATCTCTTTTTCTTTCTATCTCTAAGATTATTATTATTATTACAATTATTATTATTATAGTAACCACTGAAAATATATTTACTCTTGTCTGAAGCTTTTCGCTATTTTGTAAAGAAAAAGCTATTTAACTTTTACTCTTTATTTTAATTGTATGGAGACATTATAAACCGATCAGGTTTCTTCTATCTGTGATTTTTTTAATGAGGTTTAACAATAGCAATATACTTGATGTATGGTAAACGTGTAGTTTTTTTCTTATATACGCACACACATGCTCATATTGTTGAATTTAGATTGTTGAATTTTGCGATGAAAAATGTGCTTAGTAAAACAGCAAAGTTCAGAGCTCGCTGAGGTTTTTGACTAGCGAGATATTGCGACAATATTTAACACCACAATATTGAAATGTTTGTTCATATTTGTTCCTCTTTTCTAGATATATGTAATACACCAAAATAATCAACAAACATGTAAAATATTGACATATCATAACACAAACCTTTTCTCCTTTTAATCAGTTAACCGAAATCGATGCAGGATCGTCATTACTGAGATCCATAAATTCGTCCAATTTCTGTTAATGTTTTCTAATTATAATTACAAAAAATAATATTTGTTGAGATGAGCTTTTATTCTACAGTTAAAGGTATATAAAGCTTTCTTTATTCGTATATGATGAACGAACATCCTTTGATTCAGTAATTTTTTGAAAACTAACCCACACGGTCCGTGTTATAAATAAAAACTGGTTTTTCTAGTCCAGTTAATACAAATCCTATATAGATCAATTTGAAACAACAGATACTTCTACAAAATCCTATTAATGAGGGATTTTGCAGCGAAAAAATTAATTTTATCTACTATACTTAACGAAAATTTTAGTAAACATACATGACATCAAATGATGCTCACAAAATAATTTTCGGACCTCTACGTACAACTATTTCCAAAATTTAATAAGCCGAAAGGTGCAGAATACACCTTTCGGATGTTACAGAGAATATTTTTCAGATTAGCAGGCAGAAGTATCCAGATGGTTTTAAAGAAAAGTAAACACTAAATCTTATCGAATGTGGGAACTAATTTTCGATTTTTACCTTTTTTAACTTTTTAAAAAGTTAAAAATTGTGGACCTTACTTCCCAAAGGCTTTCAGAAAACCTGAGTTTCTGTAAAAAGCAGAATCGAACTTCTAACATATGCCGCAGTTTTCTTTTTCCAATCAGAAGAAAATTGTCATTCTTCGGCTCGACGTACGGAAGCATTCGTTGAAATACTTATTAAAAATAATATACTCCTTTGAACTAGTTAAGGCGTTTTGGAACAAGCAGTAATTCACGTCAAACTCTACGGCTAAATATCTGATCTACACAACGCCTCATTCTAAAGAGAATATGTCCCTCTATATGACGATGTATTCTATCTAAAAACCCAGATTTATAAGCAACAATGCAAAGGCTCGATCTAAATATGGTCTTCTGAATCGGAAGACTTCGTACAATATTAGATCTACCGGATTTTACGAGGATAGTAGAGATTTGTGGATAAAATTTATGAATGTCTAGTTTTCATCACGAAAGGATAAATGCAAACCGCCATTCCATTCTGTTTTACTCATCGTTGCTGAGAAGCAGCCATCCCACAAAAAGTGTCAACTCAGCTCGCCAAGATGAATTTATATTCTCTTTGCAGAATTGAAATAATATACTATATTTTCTTCAAAAAGGCAGAAAAATCTCTATTGATCAAAACATGCAAAAGTTGGGCACAGTTGACTGTCCTCCTGTTTGTTATAGAAATAGCCAATGAAAATGGAATGAACCGTCCGAAAAGATTCGACATGAGCAAAACCGTCGAGCTAGTATAATGTAATGGAAGTTATTACTTATATAAAAGATAAACCCAATACGCTATAGTCAATGTAAAAATTGAAAAAAATGTGTCGATTGTATAGTATTGCACTTAAACTTTGGGTGTACTATATCTTGATCGAACAAAGCATTATGACAGCTTTATTTGAAACTACGCACTTATTCTTCTCTTTTTAGGAGCAGAAATTTATTGAATGGCAATTTTGAATTTGAAAAAGTCGGGTTCATTTTCTATATTTTGTTCCATTATAAGCTACAATTACTATACAGAGATATTTAGTATTCCTTATTATAAATAGCGTCCCAACAGTAAATATCTTTGTAATCACAGCTGGTCTAAGTTTTAAAGTCGATTGGATCGAGTTAGTGAGAGATTGTAATAGAACGATATCAAAAATTGTGTTTCGTGGAAAACTCGAGAATCTTGATAGCTAGAGAGTTGCAACGAAAATGAAAAGATGTTTAATTGAATTTTCAGTTAGTCCTGAGAATGAAGAAGGCTTCGTCATTTTTAGTTTATGCTTAACAATATTTCTACGGAAAGCCCCAAAACGGGGAAGGATACATTCAATAATTCTCCATTTGTGTACATAAAAATGTTTGGTACGTATGGGTTGTAGTACGTATAGTGTGTTTCTATTTTAGATATCTAATAAAAGAAACATCGAATTGCAATGGCATCGCAATATAATTTCAAAAAAATTATATCAATTCCAACAGCTCAGGTAAAATAGAGAGTAAATCTGAAATAAGAGACAGGACTTCTAGTAAATGTGATTGTCCATTTAGGATTTTATTGACATTATTTTATCAAAAACACAACGTAAAACTCCAACTGTTGTCCATAAACAATATAAAATCGGTCGTATTCGACAATTTTACTTACGAAAAGTGAAATTTACACAACAAAGTTTTCATGATAAAATAGTACTGATATTAACCGATTTTCCAAAACTAGAAGTAAGAAAAATTGTGAAAATAAGATATTATCATTCTACTATTTTTCTTTGTTTTTAACAGGAAATTCATCCGTTTTATGCTGATTTAATGAATGTTTTGTATGATAAAAATCATTACAAATTAGCTTTGGGACAATTGAGCATTGCCAAGAACTTGATTGATAAGTAAATAGTTTTTATGCTAAAATTTAACAAAAATGTGTACACGTTTATATCTATCAACTTTTAGTGTTGCTAAAGATTATGCGCGAATGATGAAATTTGCTGATTCGCTATATCGATGCAAATGTTTGAAACGTGCTGCTTTAGGAAGGTAACGTTAGTTAATTAGAGCATTAGATAATATTAAAGACGTGACAAACTCGTTATCGTTCTTCTAATTAGAATGGCAACAATAATTAAACGTCAGGCACAAAGTTTGCAATATTTAGAACAAGTTCGTCAACATTTATCTCGTTTACCATCAATTGATCCGAATACGCGAACATTGTTAATATGCGGTTTTCCGAACGTTGGAAAATCAAGTTTTCTAAATAAAGTAAGTAATACTTGCTTTTTATCTTCTTTTATTTATATTGTCTTTATTGTAGATCACACGTGCCGACGTCGAGGTCCAACCCTATGCGTTTACCACAAAATCCTTGTATGTTGGTCATAGTGATTATAAATATCTGCGCTGGCAAGTTGTTGATACACCTGGCATACTCGATCACTCATTAGGTAAGCTTGATAGAGTGTCATCTTTTAGTTAATTTGTTTTTTTCATCACACTTATACGATAAGAAGAAGTTTAAGTGTAATATATTTTTAATTCTATACAGTTCATATCAATTATTGTTGTGGAAATTATTATAAATCTAGTTGAATTTTTGTTTCGTTTTCTGTGTGCAGAAGATCGTAATACAATTGAAATGCAAGCAATAACAGCGTTAGCACATTTACGTGCGGCCATATTATATGTTATGGATATATCGGAACAGTGTGGCTATTCGTTAGAACAACAGGTAGATATATTTTTAGAATTGCCGAGTTTCGTTTCAAAAATATACTTTTTATTACTAGCTTGATTTGTTCAATAACATCAAAGCTTTATTTACGAATAAACCATTATTGATCGTTGTTAATAAAGTTGATATAAAACGTTTGGATGAATTATCTGATGAAAAAAAAGTAATTACAGTTTTCTCTTGCATTGTGTTTGTCTACTCTAATGATTAACTATTTTAGGCTGTTTTTGAACAATTTCGTAGAGAAGACGTGAAAATTATGGAAATGAGTACATTTACAGATGAAGGTGTATGCGAAGTCCGAAATGAGGTAAGTAGTACTGTTCCAGATAAACTCTTATCTTCGGATGAGAATGTATATGATTGAGGTCATTGACGGTGAAGTGCAAAGTTGATCGATCTGACAATAAATACTAAGTTTCTGACTGTTCTTCAGCTAATGCACTTATATTTTCTCTTTAATTACTGTTTAGGCATGTGATCGTTTACTTGCACACCGTGTTGATATCAAATTGAAAAGTCGTAAAGTTGATGATGTACTCAATCGTCTACACGTTGCACAACCACAAAAACGTGATGAAACTGTTCGGCCACCACATATACCCGAAGGTGTGTTGAAACGTTTAGAAAGGGTGACAATTGCAACGACAGACACCATTCCACTCGCAGTACCAACAATCGATGACGAAAATTACCGTGGTGAAAATGATGAAAAACCCATTACACGAAAGAAGAAACTTGAACGTGATCTTGAAGTAGAATTAGAAGATGATTATCATTTGGATCTAAGAAAAACATGGTTATTAGCTTGTGATGAAGAAAAATATGATGTATTACCAGATGTTTATCGTGGAAAAAATGTTGCCGATTATGTTGATCCGGATATTATGAAAAAATTGGAACAGTTAGAACAAGAGGAAGAAGCACGTGACGAAGCCGGTTTCTATGATGAAGAAGAAAGTGAAGAAGATGATGAAACAACAGCCATAAGAAAATTAGCAAAAAAAATTCGTTATAGACGACACGTAATGATATCTGAAAGTAGATCGAAAAAACAAGCGAGACGTACACCATCTGTACCACGACCAAAACTACCAATTAAACGAGAAAGATTAGAAAGTACAATGAGTCAACTTGGAATTGATATGGAAAATAAAGAAGATGTAAGTATACCTCAGACCTTATTATATCTTAGAGACAAACGCAGTGTAAATCTGACTGTCGTAACACTTCAAGCTGTTGAGTACGATGAGATTTGTATCTTATTTCGAAATAAACGCTTGGCAAATAATATGTCTGTTGAATGATTATTTTCTATACACATCATTTACATATAATGATGCTTGATCCACAACATACATTAAACATGGTATTGAAAAGGCAAATCTCACTAATTTTTCTGTTGTTTTAGTCGCATTACGTAGCTAAAGCTAGAAAAACGAGAAGTAGATCCGAAAGTCGTCCAGCAGTAAAACGTCAACGTGTTGATTCTGAAGGCCGTGTTCGAAGTAGTTCAAAAGTGCCACGAGATCAATCGGGCGTGCGTGATGTTGCTGTAAGTAAATTATTTTTTCTAAACTAGATCTAATATAAAATGATTATTTATCTCTTTTAGATGGCAAAGAAAGCAAAATCTATAGGCAAAATTAATCAACGTAAATTTCAATTGAGAGCTACATCGGGTGAATCAGATAGACGTATTCATACTGAAAAACCAAAACATTTATGTATGTATACTACGAAGGAATATTGAAACTCTTAACTTTATTTTATAAATTTATTTTAGTTTCTGGGAAAAGAACTATAGGAAAAACAGATCGACGATAATGGAAATGAAAATGGAAATGAAATTTTTTACAATTGTTTTGTTTCAGTTCGTCTTTTTATATAAAAATGTCTTTCTTTTTCTACTGTCGTTCGCTGTTATAATTCTTTTCTATTGTTATTTATATACGCAGAAAATATATTAAATGAAATGGAGGTGCTCATTTATAAAATCAAGTTTTTCAAGTTGTATGTATCAGGCTCGTTGACGACTGCCATCCTTCAAAATTTATTGTATAGTAGAAAGATCTTAACAAAATATAGGACGATCATCTTGAGTTCTTCTTTGCATATATAATGATACAAAAAAAGTATTATATTTCTTTTTGTTAAAAACGCACGGCATCTGATATTGATAATGAGAATCAACCTTCTGTAGAACAGATGAGACTAAGTGATTTATCAAACATCAAAGCTGCTTTTTTATAAATATAGATCGCTAGTCCAAAAGAAATAGACCTGATACACTGCCAATAATATCGTTATCATCGCTTACGAATAAAATAAATACAATTGAATAACGCTCTTTAGGGCGATTATCGCTAACAGAAGAAGAAAACAAACGTTAGAACAAATACAACATAATCGTATTGTGACTAAAATGAAACTTGAAATAAAAAACATATTTGGCGTTGTTGTTGATATATCTATGTCATGGTATAAAGCATTTGAACCAGAATTTTCTAAAGACTATTTTCTAAAGGTATAATTTTTTATTCGTATTAGTTTATTTTTATTATCATTTGAATTTAGTTGGCAACATTTATCGCTGCCGAGCGTGCAAAACATACAGTTTATCCACCAGAAAATATGGTTTTCTCATGGACAAGATTTTGCCAGTTGAATGAAGTAGGTGCGATTTATTCTGGACTATGATTTAAAATAAAAATAGATCTCTTGTGTTACTAGGTTAAAGTTGTTATATTGGGTCAAGATCCATACCAGTATGTGCAAACTTAGTGCAAATTATCTTTTCCATGTCATTTCAATGAAATATTCGTTTTTGTATAGTCAACCAAATCAAGCGCATGGCCTATGTTTTAGCGTTCGCAAAGGCGTTAAGCCTCCACCTAGGTAACAAGTTCGAGAAAAAGTTGCTTTAATGTGTAATATTTTCTTTCTTTGTTTAATAGTTTGTTAAATATCTTTAAAGAATTAAAACAAGATGTTGAAGGTTTTGAAATTCCAGACCATGGTAAAATGACGTAAACAAATGTCTCTGAACCGTTTTTACTATACAATGTTTTATTCTAGGAACATTGGTTGGATGGGCCCGTCAGGGTAGGAAGTCTCTTTTATTTTCTTCTAAACGTGGATTTATTTGTCATGTGTTTTTAGGTGTATTATTACTTAATGCTTGTTTAACAGTCGAAGCAAATAAAGCGAATTCACATCGAGGAAAAGGATGGGAAACATTTACGGTATGACTAACTCTGAAATTCTTCGTCACATATGTGTTCAGATATTCCTGTTATTTGAAGGATGCTGTTATTCAATATTTGAATCATCATACAAATCATACCGTTTTTTTACTATGGGGCAAATATGCACAAAATAAAGGAGCACAGATAGATAAAGTAAGTCTCAATTGTGTTAAATTTATTTGCAAGGTTATTTTGACAATGGTAATAATCGATGTACATGTAAATGTATTTGCAGACATGTTACTTGTGGACTGATACAGTCTGCGGATTTGCATAACAGAGGTGTTAATCGATCACGACAGAGTATTCTGTTCGGATTATCATGACACAAAGATTTTTGCAGATGAGCGACACTTCAGATAGGCTCACGTCAAATTTTCTTGATCTGTTAACACCTTTGTTTTATTACAAAGAAGTTTAACCCTTTCGGGACGGGTGACGTTTTAAAACGTCAAAAATGGGAATAACCCGTGCTTTCCAAAACTTTCTTTCGAAGACACGTTCCTCAAAATTCGATCATAATCAAATTTCAAATACATCATCTTATGCAGCTTTTGGCGCTCTATCTTTTGATGTATAATACATTTGAATAATATTTAGTTCTGAGTTAAAAATCTAAGTTTTTTCGAAAATTTCGGTCCTTCTCAGTAAAAGAGGGTTTTGAGTACGAAGACAGAATCGAAAGTCAAAAATGTTTTTGACAGTAGATAGCTTTTGAAATTCTCTATCGAGAGATTTCCATCTGAATGTTTTTGTCGAAAATCTCTTGGTTAGGAAAAACGAAATACTGAAGATGCGTTTTTTCCGTTTTTTTAGGAAAATACTGTTTTCTACCTAACTCCGCCAAAATAAGTTGAAACTTAACGATATTTTCACATATGGTAGAGTTTAGTGATAGCTTTCTTTTGGCGAAAGGATTAAGTCTCTATCTGTCAGGGAAGTCGAGATATTGCAAAATAAAAAAGATCTTAAACTTTTGAACAGCACTGTATATATAAAAATTAAACCGATCCTGAAAGGGTTACGCTTGAAAACGAGTATTCTGATAATAGTTCTTAATTCTATAACATCTTCTCTCTCTTTTTTTCTTCTAGAAGCGTCATTGTGTTTTGACTTGTGCTCATCCATCACCGTTATCAGCGCATAACGGATTTTTTGGTTGTAAACATTTTTCAAAAACAAATGAATATCTTAAATCTCACGGAATAACACCCATTAACTGGTCAGATCTACCATCAGAAGATGATTTACCGTTTACGTGAAAATATGAAGCACTATATAAGATTTTTGTTTTTGTTCAATCTTTTTTGAACTATTTAGTCAATTCACTTAAAATTGTCATGTATTATATCCACGATTTTTTTTTGTTAAAATTGTAGTCTTTCTTTTGTTGTTTTGTCAGATTTTGTTTTTCTTTATGACTATTTTCTTTATCCGATTTCATTTTTGATTAGATATTCTTTGTACGCTTTCTTACTCACTATACAGCTTGAATAATACTCGTCTATTTTCTTATGTATGGTACTATAAAGATTCTTCTTTTTATTATCAAATGGCTTATAAACTACAAATTATAAATAAGGTAAAGAAACAATAATTATCTATCTGTCTAGTTAAAAAATGTATGGCTAAAAACGCTGATACCGGTCGCCATCTATCAAGCAGTTTAAGAACATTATCAGTCGATTGATCGTAATTATTAATTAATGGGGAATTTTTCAATTTTATCTATATTCGTATCAATCGTAGAGTGAATTACAGTTAAGAGTCACTGCAGGAGCGAAACGATGCTCAATCGATGTTTGAGTTTTTAGCTCAGGATTTTACTGTGGGTAGAGGCAACATATATAGGAAGATTCCCAAATTTTTCCCATTCGGACTTACTCGTTAAAAAGTTATAGAGCTTTCCGTAAAAGCCCTAAAAATAGCCTAAAACGATACTTGTATAAAAGTCAAATTTGTGATGTTTATATCTTGGTCTAGGAAGTTGATTAAGAGCTCATATGTGCAGCATAAGTAGTCCAGGTCGAATGCTACCTATAACCAAGAGCATATGTAAAAATAAGTTTTACGTATGTGTGAGCATACGCGCACCAGATTTTGCTAAGGCCAACAGTTTTGCATAATTCTTTTAACCTAAAAACTTTGTTATTGCATTGAATGTTACTTCTATCCATTGTACAAGTACACCTCTACTATGAATTATGAAATCGATTCATACAAGTCTCTTGGTTGATGCACGGCTGAGCTGGAAAGTCGATAGAAAACGAAAAATAGCCTACTTTCCAGTTCGATTTTCTCGTCCGATAGTGTCCCAAATGGTGGAACTATAATGCCATTCTAATATATGGACCCAGTACTATTCATGTCTGAAAGCCGTTTTTGGGAGGATTCACACACGGCTCTGGAAGAGTCTCTGAAAATCCGTTTTTTGAAGTTCACTTAACATGAACGTCCTTCGAGAAAAACGACGATAGTTTTTCTCATTGCATTTCGGAGCTTTAAAATATTTTTTTCTGAATCCGCATTGCAAAATGCATATGAAAATGTGATTTTGAAGATTTCGCATATTACGAAGTCTGTAGGAAAAAATTCGTTTCCAAGGGAACCCAGAAACGTGACTCTCCGCTCAAAAAAGCATCAAGTCTCGGGAATCAAGAAGTACGCCAATATGACTTTCGCCAATATCATCAGTGTACTTTCGTCAATATTACCCATGATTTCAGTTGCATGGATTCCAGTTGCAACCAATAATTCAGCTGCATGGTCTCTTCATGCAAGTTACAATTTTTTTAAATGTAAAAAGGACATGACTTGCATTGAGAGACAATACAATTCGAGTCATAATTGGCGAAAGTACATTGAACTTTCGCCAGTACACCCCATGGCCGCTCGCCAATTGGCGAACATCTAGTTAGCGAAAGTCATATTGGCGTACTTTCATGATTCCCAAGTCTGGCATTCGAACTGCCTTGAAGCGGAGAACAAAGTTATAGGTGTAGATTTCTGATTTTTTTCCGATGACTCTTGAAGACCCGATTTTCTGTAGAACCAGTTTTTCAGAAACGCTACGCTCTACTATGTTTTTCACAAAACATAGTGAAAATTGCAAATCTTATAGTAAGTTGATTTTATCATAAGCAAAAATTGATTAAATCAAATTAATGAAGCGAAAAGTTGAAGGTGTCCTCGTATAATTGTTTCACTGTACTGTAAAATCGAGAAAAGAAATAAAATGAAACAACTAAACTAAACATAATTTGAAATTGAAAATATGTAAATAAACATCAAATGCGTTTTGTTTCATTCAAACTTCTATGTTTCTATAATCTGTATAGATATTCGTATGCGTATTTATTTATTTTTCTTATGAAGTTTTTTCTGAAAGAAAGACGCAAATATTTGATCTTAAACGGTTGGATGAATTTTTCTAACCACCTTTTTGCAAAATTATTTAATCTATTATTGTTGTGTGAAAATGTTTTGTTTTTTTGTTTTTAAGAACATACGATTTTTTATTGAATTTTTCATATTCGAAAATTTCATATAATTTAAATAAATGAGAAAACTAAATAGAAGGGACATGTGATGAACAAATGAATACATTTGATTCTAGTAGAAAAAATGAAAAGTATAGATAATAAATGTGAAAATAATAATTAGACATGTAAATAAAACAAATAGCTATTGTTATACTACAAAATACACGATATACACAATGAATTATTTACTTTTTCTATAGACATGAATAAGAGGTGTACATAATACTAAAACATGTTTTAGATTGACAAATTATCACAATAATTTACTAAGGACGTATATAAAAATTACACAAAATGTTCACATAATGTGTAATTTTTGACACAAATAACGATTGTTTTTTACAAAAAAAAATACAATTTTTGTTTTTATACAGAATTGATTTTGAGTCATGAAAATTAGACACGATTCTTGTTAAATATCTCATTTTTGATTGTCGACTAATATTAATTCATTTATATATTTAATATTTTATTTTAAAATACTAAAATTTTAAAAATTATTTTTGTCTTTTTTTTCGAGAAATAGTTTAGGTATTTTTTGTTGATTTATCAAGTTTAATCATGTATGTTTCTATTCTCCTTTTGTTAACAAACATCCAATATGCATCCAAAACATTAACCAGTTACGCTTATATATGATTATAAAATCATTAATAACTTGCATATTTCTCTTTGTGCAATCATTTTGAATACATATAATATTTGATAATAATTTCATGATAATATTCATAGAATCATTAATCAAAATATTTAGGCTATCACCTTATACATATTGATATAAGTTTCAACTAGCGTAACTATAAAAATATTTCGTCATAAGTAGTGAACCGTGACCAAATCACCACGAGTGCTGTCTATTTCTTTTGGCATAGTTAGTTTACCACAAGATTATTTTGCCGTGATAGGAAATAGAAAAGAATATTGAAGAAGAAAAATATATATATATCTATTAATCATAAGAACGAATATTTGACATTTAAATATAACGAAATATGCTTGAGGAAATACTAGTGATTGCCAATTTCAATAGAGGTTAAAAAATAATTACTAAGTAAAAAAAAAAAGTGTTCGTAATAATACGTCTTGATCACTTGAAAGGTGTATCGGAAAAATCGCGGTAAACGTGCCATTATAACCACACAAAAGCATAGATTCACGTACACTATAATAAATAAATCAAAGATTATCAGTGATATTTTCATTTTGTTGTCAATTGTAAAATGAATCCGATGATAACCTACAGTAATTTAAATGATGGAATTACATCGAGAAGATATACCGGATTTCCTTTGAACTCAACAGGGTTAATTAAACTAAAACGTCCAGATATTACTGTGAGGTGATATAGGTAGTAAAATGATTGAAATTGGCTATAACGTGAGAAAAAAAGTATATCAGTGACTAACTTGTACCCCTTAGATTAATTGTAAATTGTGTGGACATCCTTGATAAATATAACTTCACTTGTTAGCACTTATACACCCGATACAATAAAAAGCATTATTAATCATGCAGCTGCTGGTCAACCGTATAGTGAGTATCTCCTTTTATGTTGTTATTTTCTTTTCTTTCTAATATCGTATTCTATTACTATCATTCATAAAACACATTAATAATAAAGGAATGATTTGTCCTTCGTACAACTTTGTCAAAACTGTCAAATTTGCTGCATTTAGTAATCTGATTTGAACACAGACCGAACATGTTTATAATTGTATACTATTTCTTTTAGCGAGTGAAGAACGTAAATTTTTTTTAATGAAAAAATGAGGTGCAACTAACTTATCAGTATATTTTTTATATTATCAGAAATATTTCACTGACTCTACTATTAGAGATTCATGATAAGGAAATTCCATTTTAATAGAAAATGATTCGATCATAGCAAGTGTTTATGAAAAATCCATCTCTATCAAATTTTACATCTCAAAAAATGCTTACATTTAAAATTTATGATATTTTTAATAAACGATACGCTTGACAAACTGCCAAATGGCAGTTTAACTTAATATTTATGAGTGTAACTTGTTCATATTATCAAAAAATTTGAACTACTATTACGTAACAAGCATTATTAACTGAAATTTTATATCGGAAATAGTAAACAGCGTAAAACACTTAAAATACTCAGGATCTTTCTTTTTGTAGGAAGTTGTTTTTAATTTAAACTGAGTGTGTTATATATTTCATCTACACATACAATCGAAAGAAGTAATTAGCAGACTCTTGATATTTCATATTTAAGTAGGGTAAAAACTAACCTCAGTTGATGTTGTATGTGTTTTCACAATCTTGATCCTTAATACACTGATTATTTTCTCTAGCTACTGCTGTATGGATCAGAATCGGTCGAATGGGCATTCGTATAAATGCTCAGAATCCGCAAGTAGCAAATACACGTGTGCCAGTATTCATACCAATATCCTTGGTACATGACATTTTCATTCAACCAAGCATCCCAAATGTGATTTGTATTGTCTACGATGAAATACAATCGAATATGAAAGGTGTTCTATTGTATGTTGTTCAGCCAGGTATGTTAATAGAGAATGAAATGTGATATAGTGTAGTCGAAACCACATTTTCTTTTTCTTTACAGCGGACGCAATGTTACTCAGAGAAGATTTTCGTATTATTAAACAGCAAATACCCGGACATATGCCTTCACCCTATATAAATCCGTTTGATTCACGTTATGCAAATGCAAACATAATTGGACATAATCAAATACCACCACCACCATATACTACTTACCTTCCACCACAACATCATGATCAACCTGTTCGTTTAGAACCAAGTATGTTACAGCGAATTTCACCGCCCATTGCCGAAGTTTACAGGGGCAACGTACTAGGAGCTCCGCCATTGCGACGAATCTATTATTTAAATAACGGTTCAAATCGTGTTTCACCAACCGGTCCTTATTCTAATTTGCCACAGTTGAGTTACGCACCTTTAAAAAGTAGTTACAGTGGTCATGAACGACGTAGAAGTCCTAGAAAAAAACCTCATACAAAACCATCAAGTGATAATGGTAGCAAACATCGACGAAAAGTTCAGTCCGATCGGTCAAGATCATTGGAAAAAAAACAAAAAGCGAGATTTGATCCTAATTATTTACCAAAACATAACCACAGTGAAGGATTAAGTCACAATAATTTATCACCTCAACAACTTCAACAACTTCTATACCAGCAACAACAACAACAAATGGCAGCTATGATGGCAATGCAAAAAGCAAATCAAGTTCCAATAGTACCAATGGGTATCTATAACAGGTAAGTTTCGACAATATTCTGTGAGATTATTGTTTTATTCATTTCTTTTTATACTAGATATGTGCCAAAAACAATACCTTTACCATCAGGTGACACTATCAAAACAGCCATTCCTCAGCCACCAGTTATAAATGGAACTGGTCACAATCATGCAGTAAATGGCGCAGCAGTAGCATTTATTCAACCCGCTCAAAATAATTTAACAAACAATCGTTCGAAATCAAGATCAATTTCACGTTCGTCATCGAGAAATCGACACAAAGAACGACCAGCAAGTACTCAAAATCCTATTGAAATACTCGAAGCACATCGCCATCATCATCATCATCATCATTCTCACAAACTACCAACAGATGGTATTAATTGGGGCGCACAGACAATGAAAGGTTTACCAACACAAAATCGTCGAAAATATAGTGAAGATAAAGAAACAAAACAATATTTAAAACAATTACTTGATGAAGTACACAACGTTAAAACGGAAATGAATAAAATAAAACAAACAGCGGCAATGAAAAATCGTTCTGATTCATTAAAAATTGATTTAAGAGAAATCAAAGCGGATATTGAACAAATTCGAACAAGAGTCCAAAATCATGGGACATAATTTCTTCTTGTTGTTTTTTATCAAAACAAACATTAGATTATCTTCTGAAAATCTTCATTATTCCATTTGATGGATGAAAAATAAAGTCTTTCACATCTTTTAGAACGAAGTGCGTTTATACAACACAAAACACTTGTGTACATATATTAAGTTCAATGTTATCCCAATTATTTCCCTCTTAGAAAATACTGCAGCAACAACAACAACGACAACAACAACTGATAGTAAAATTTCTTTATCTTTTTCGTTGATCGTTCGTCAACTCGAGCAGTAGACACTATCCATTTTTTATTGAAGAATATCGGGATAGTTACAAACATGATTAACACAATTCGTTTAGAGAACTGAGGAAATTATGAATCTTTTCTGAAGTTCATCTACTTCACTAAGCAATTTTATTAAGTCGTATACTAAAAGTAGAGCACTGTTTCAAAAAAAAGAAGACCAGATCTGTTATCAAATATTTGACCGTCGTGAAAAAAAAAGAGTTTGAAAAAGAAATAAATCGTTTGTATTTTTTACAAAAAAAGAAAAGTATAATGTTTATAATTTTGTTGGCTAGGTTATAGCATACCAAGACCAATGGCGGCAAGTATCGAAGTACCAACAACAACAACACTAATTGTTTCAATATTTTCGAAATCTCTATCGCTATTCCAAGCCTAAAAAATAGGAGTTTTTAGTTAACAGTAACAAAACTCAAAATAAGAGAGAGATAGCATACCAAATGACGAATACCGTTCATAGTATGATACAGTACTCCTCAAAAGTAGCGGACCCCCTGTCAGTGTGGAGACATATCCCGATCGGAATGTACTCCCAATCGGGATCTTCTTTATTGCCCCTCTCTAATGTCTTTTGTTTTCTCCAGCTGATCAAAGAGACACATATATCTTTTTAACAGACGTAAATAGATTTCTTCTATTAGACATCTTTCATATGTGAGTGTAGTATAAAATATAATAGAAGATAGAAGACAAAGTCGTTACCACGCAGAGTTTCATCTACCATACATTTGTAACGTTCTTTTCTTCTTCGTCTTCTTATAATTGCAAACAAAAATGAGTCAAGTAGTATACTTAACATTTGGTTTACAAACAAGAAATTTCACTGAAAATTTTCTCTCTAGGTTAATGGTGAGTGTGTAATCTTTCTGACAAAAGTTTCACCTACGTTTTTCGGAACCATAGATTTCTATGATTATTTTTCCATGATTATGATGCGCATTGAATGCAGATTCTATAGCAGAAAGAGCGACCCTTATTTCCTCACCCTCGCTTTTCTACGTATGTTTCAATCGTGAGTGCTCGTCCTCAATGAATTTTCAGAACCGCACAATAGTTAAGGTAGTCCTTCAATCTTGGACTGGATAGTCTACAGTCGTCGAAGAGGATTTGTCAAGGGAGAAAAGCAACTTCAGAGGACTTCGATGGACCCATACAGTCCATTGAAACCCTATGAAGTCTGCCAGAGTCCCTTAAAATACACTTTGTTATAATTCTGTACGGTGTATCGTTAATGGTGTGTATCTTTAGCCTATCCGACTACTTTAATGTTTTTAGAATCTCACTTTGGAAAATCATCGGGATTTTCACCAAAAAATGAAAACAAACTAAAAGTTTCGAAATACACATCATTCGACTCAGTTTTTAATCCTGATTCTGAATATGATATTTTTATTGCATAAAAGTTGAGTTCTGTTAAAGAAAATCGAGAATTACAGGCAGAATTTCGACTCGTTCGTCTCTGATTTAGAAAAAATGAATTTTCTCAGCAATAAAAGGGAATTTTAAAAAAATGGTTTTTACACTTTTGTTGCCCGTGAGAAGGCAAATCGAATGTGGTATAAACCGACATCAAAAACTAATTAAAAGCAGATGAAAAATGTTGAAAAGAACCAAACATCGTTGAAGATTTCCAAAAAACCCTCTTACATTCATTTTTGAGATCTCGCAAACGCTGAAGTTTGTTCAGTTTTTCACGCACTATTTAATGGTGTATCTGAAAGTATCTGTTGCTATGAAAAAATTGAGACATTTTGGTTTTAAAAAAAGATGAACTTTTAGAATTTAAAATTTAAATTTAAAAGTAAGGAAAAGAGATTTTTTGATAATTCTTTTTTTCAGAATGTCGCTGAAATATTTCTCTACATGATGCAATTATTGAAAAAATTTTCAACTTAAAAATAATATCAGGAAAAAATTTTTATTAAAAAAAGAGTTCCAAAAACAATAGTTTTCTGGAAGTCCTACCCCCAGATTTCTTCAAACCTTTTCAACATCACCATTAGAATGTTCATGATTTGAAACCTCTAGAGCCCATGTTTCATTAACTTTGGTTTAGTACTTCATTATGAACAAGTTTCAACTTTTTGATCTAATACGCCCATCGGGATTTTTCCGATATTCAATATACTCACATACTCAGCTTCTGCTTAGCAAAGCCTTTTTTCTATATCGTATCGGAGTCCGAAACTTCATGGGACTTGACGTATTCAGGGGACCTCATATCTCAGAACCTTATTTCAAGAGACCTTGATCGTAAAATATCTGACTTTCAGTAACCATTAACAGCTACCGCTCTAAATTCATATTGTAAATAGAAGAGAATCAGGACTACATTTTGATAAAAAGAAAAAGTTTTCATCTCTCTTGGATCAGGAGTTATTAGCATTTTACGGAACACAAGTAAAACACTTATATCTCATGAACCATCTAATAACAGAGGCCTAAACTTGGTGGGTGGTCAGCATTCGGTAAGAGCTATGATCACACAAAATTAGAAGTTCTTAGCTATCATGGTTCTTGAGTTACAGGGGGCCCGCTACTTTTGAGGAGTACTGTACGTAACTCTACAATGAAATCAAAAACTTAATTGAAAAATATTGTCCAATTAGAAATATTCATGGCGTATATATAACGCAAAATTTCTTGACTATGAGCGGCAGCGAGAAAACAAAGTGAACCGGAAACGTAAAACACTGCAAAAATAAGCAAACTTTATTTAGCAAGCGATAGTCACTAGAGAGCATGTTAACAAGGTAAGATTTGTAATTCCATGTGCAACGAACTTCGCTGTCGGAACACTTAGTGAAATGCAATATTAATAATATGAGATAAAAATTAACTTAGTCCCATTCAAAATCAGGCCCGTTATACGATGAAATCCTATGAACATAAAGAAAATAATCAAACAAATTCAAATGAATTCAAACAAAAAATATAGCTAATGTCAGCGCTTAAAATGGAAATCTAAAAAAATCCATAATACGATCACATAACTAAAAAACTTAAGAGAATAGACAGTTTATTTTTATCGTCGTACCTATATATTTTTAAATGTGGTGATTGATAATGGCCGATCGAGTTTCATTTCATCCATATTTCAGCCCATTCTTTTGATTTTAAACAATATGCAACTGTTTCTGCAATAACATTATCAATATTAATAATTCATTAGAAGGAGCTACTTGCAACGACATTGGACCATAACGGCTCAACGTTCTAGAAAACAATTATTTGTTTAAAATTAAAAGAGCAAAACACATTTTTAGCTGAAACTTTATCTGAAGAAAATATTTGCTTTGATTAAATTTAAAAAGCTAATACCAAATTTAGCAAACTAGTGTGACGGAAAAAAGGCCTTATACTGTATCTTTTTAGAATTTTTTGTTAGTTGGCATCAAACACAATATTAGAAATAATGAAGATGTTTATTCTAGAAATATCGATTTTCTAGTGGACTCCCGAAATGTGGAAGATATTCACCGTTTTGTGTTGCCGGGTCACATAGTATATAAAAAACGTCAGTTTCGTGAAAACATGTCTAAGATTCCACAGTTGTTGTTACCTTAGTGATTCTCTACCATAAGACCGACTCGGACTAGCCTCCAGCATCATTTGAACAAAATAACGAAATGATCAAATGCTAACCAAAAAACAGTATAAATTTCCAAAAAAAAATTCTGCGAAGATCTCAAGAAATTCTCAACTAGAATTGTCGATGAATAATTCATTGTAATTAATGATCCGCATCCAAGGGGGAAAAAGCAACACTACACTTTTTCCACTACTGCAGTGGCCTTGTAGAGGCCTAGTAGTGACCTAGTAGTGACTTTGTAGTGGTCACGATGAGTGTAGTGGGTCTGTAGTACGATGTAATAGATGTGTAGTGGGCTGTAGTGGCCAATCTCTTGTAGTGTAGTGTTGCTTTTTTCCCCCTTGTCCGCATCCCAACAAAAATCAACATCAGTTAATGTATCAAGTTGTACTCGCACATGTATATTGTCTTCGACTCGACAATAGTGAGTGTATTTTAGTGGTCATATAGATGATGTAGCACAGTGGACATTTAGTCAAGTATCCTTTTTTCAAATTCTCTTATTGAATAGTAAACTTTAAACTGTCGACCATTTTTCCTTTTAAATAGACTTTTATTTAAGTATTAAATTCATTCTAGCAAATAGTCTGGGATACAATAACTATCTTCAAATTTAAACATTTTTCAAATTAAATGATCGCTAAGGTTGAAAATAATTTCAATAATAAACTGTCATGTATTCGGTTCATTGTTAATTCCAAACCAAGATAGTTTTTAAATTGGGTATCCCAGTTGGGAAATGGAAAAAAATAAATAAAACTGCTTTTCGCAACTGAGATACAATTAATAAAATATGGGCGCGTAGATATTGTTTATATAAGTTCGAAAAGTATTATTTTATACATCGTGCTATAATAAAGCAGTATTGCATCGAAGTTTGCTGAAATATTGTCATGGATTTTGTTCGTTAAAAAAACCCAAAGGGTGTATCAGCAATATTATATAAAGAAAATTTATATTGTTGTGAGCGTCTCAGAAAGGTATTGACCATTGAATGAGTACTAATAATAAAATTGTGGATATTCTTTTATTTCACGGAATAATAAAATCACATCTGTGAATGGCATTTACGGGCATAAGAATACACAATATCGAATGCATGTTGATCAAGTGATTTCATT